TAACGGCCTCGAGACCCCGGTTCATCACGTCCACCGCTTCATTGGCACGGGGCCTCGTGGTCGATCTCTGTCCCCCAACCAACACCGACTGCGACCTGTCCAAGAGGTAGGAGGAGAACCACCACAAAACAGTGCCTCCCACTCCCACCTCCCGCAGTCGTCGCAGAAGGATACCATGGTCGATGGTATCGAAAGCCGCCGAGAGGTCAAGGAGAACCAGGATGGACGCATTGCCTCCATCCCTGACTTAAGAGTCAGATCTGTGGACAAGCTTATTTTTCCATCACCAAGTCAACACAGTTAGATTTAGCACATATTAATGAATGTCAACAGAGAAAATCCCTTTTTCAGAGATTTTCTGAATGTCTCTTTAAAACTAGCATACTTTCCATTTAGATGTTTAACAAAAAAAGGAATCATTTTGCTTTAGAGTTTCTTAAAATTCAGCTTGCACTATAGACTTTTCTTTAATATTGCTGAGACATTGTGCTCATGAACACCTAAACATGAAAGACTTATTTATGTTATAAAGAAACAAAAGGAGGAATGTATAAGTCAGGAGCAAAATGAAAAAAAAATGTGTTGCAAATACAGATATGCAGCAGGAGGTGGTAACTAGGTCATACTAGAGATAAACCCCATAACATCATTATTAAATTATTAAAAAATTCTTTACAAACGTTCCCACATCTAATAATTGCAAATATATTAGAACAACAATTCCCAAAATTCAGTTAGTGTGGCTGTTGGTCATGTTGAATGAGAATTCTGGGAACAGTAATCCCAATACATCTGTAGACCATGAGACTGAAAAAGATTGCTCTACACTGGGATGCTCTTTGAAATTCTATGCCAATGCAAAGAACGCAAATGCATTCTTTCCAGTACACAAATCTATCTATGTGGTGGATGAAAATATTGATTTCTGATATAAGTATGCATACATTCTCTATGCATTTCTAATAGAAAATAACCAATCCATATGCGTAAGCAAGACATGTTGAAAAATAATCAAGTTGCTTTTATGAAGAACTATAGCAAGGGGCTAAAACTTCAATGAAGGTGCTTTGGCTTTCTTCTTCATAAAAACATTTTGAACTCAGAAATTGAACTTTTGACATTTTCAGAGATAATGTATTCATTTAAAATTATTTTTGCATATTCTTAGCCAGCTTTTTCTGATGAGAATTAATTCTCATCAGAATTCAACAGAAGAAACATCAGTAAATATTGTACTCATTCAGTGATGGTGCTCACATACTTAGGAAACCAGCCAGCTTATCTTCTAGGACAACCTGCTCTTCCACCCCATTTTTCTGTCTCAACACTTGACTCAATTACAAATCAGTTGTTCTGGGTACTTTGTTATCTAAATCATAGAGTCATAGGGCCAGAAGGGACTTGGAGGCCTTCCAATTCAACTTCCTGCCTAAGACAGGAATCCATTCTGAACACATGGTTGTCCAATCCTTTCTTTAAAACCTCCAGTGATGGAGCATCCACAATGCTGAAAGCAAGCTGCACCATAGATTACTTGTTCTCACTGTCAAGAAATTCCTTCTTATTTCCAGATTGGATCTCCCTTTGACAAATTTCCACCTGCTGCTACTTGTCCTGCCTTTAGACGCTACGGAGAATAAATCAAGACCCTCTTCCCTGTGACATGAGTGTGACAATCCTTCAAGTATTGGAAGCTAAGCTACCATGACACCCTTAAACCTTCTCTCTGTTAGGCTAAATATACCTAGTTTTCTTGGACACACTATACCCGTGATGGTGAACCTATGGCACATGTGCCAGGGGTGGCACACAGTGCTCTCTCTGTGGACACACGAGCTTTCACCCTAGTTAAGCTCCACCATGTATGCTTGTGTTCCTCCTGCCAGCTAGCTGGTCTTTGAGTCTTTGCCATGCATGCGTGTGGCAGAATGCATGCAGGAGGTGCATGCAGGCGGTGCATGCACATGAGTGGGGGCCACGGGGAGGGAGCGTGTGGGTGGGGACATTTAGGGGGACATGTGTGCATGTGGGGGCACACACACTTGCATGGGGGAGGCTGCACACAACATGCACAGAGAGCAGAGAGTATGCATGGATGGCACATGCACATTGCATTTCGGGAGTTCGCGTGCTTTCGGTACTCGGTCTGGAAAAGGTTAGCCATCAGTGCACTATACCAAATAAGAGAAAAGTGGGAGTTGGGTTTTCTACCTGAAAGCAAGCGATACTTAGTCTGCTGTATCCCTCAAGTGGGATGCAGGGGCACAAAACTTTTGAACCTTGAAAGTCTGAACCTTACAGAGATGATACACAGATGTCATTGGAATGCTTTTGTAGTAGCTTCCTAGCTTTCCTAAAATAAGCCTACCGAGCTGAGCTTTTGTGTCCTTGGAAATCTTTTGCTGAAGTTTTTTTGCATTCCCCGCTGAGCCTGACACAGCTAAAGATGTCTTTCGGCTTTTTGAAAGTCAGCTGTGTTTGAGGAATCTGATACACAAAACATTATGAGAGCACACCATATAAAAGATACTACCACTTCTTTGTACTACAGGGAAGGGAAAATGCAAAAAGCCCCATGTTCAGTATCAAAAGCTAATTCACACACATCAGATCACAAGTCATAATATGGTTCTTAGCTTAATATAGAGTATGAATCATCCATTATGGCTTACTGTTATGTGCAGAGCAGATTAAGATGCTGGTTAAAAAGTTGGATTAGGATGATCCATATTTAAGTCCACCTTCAGCTATAGAAATTCACTGGGTAACTCCAGACCAACATACTGCACAGGACTGTTCTGGGTTAAAGCAAAGGGAGATTTCTCTGTAAGCCATTCTAAGCTCCTAGAAAAGAGGTTCTTAACCTGGGATCCACAGACCCAGGGAGATCCATGGACAGATTTAACAGAGGGAAGGATTTTTTTAAAAAAACCTGCAACTTTATTGCAACCTAACTGAAATGTAGCTTACATTGTATTGACTTAATGAATTGATAAAGCAATATATTACTATGCTACACATTTGTTATATTTTAACAGCTGTGTTTGTGCACCATTATATTATAAAGGAAATCGATCTACAGTATATTTATGTTTAAATACGCTTAAATACATTTCTCGGAGAAGTTTCTGTACATTTCATAGGTTTCCATCCTACCTATGATTGTGTCCCTGACAAAACGGTTAAAAATTCATTGCAGAAGAAAGGCAAACTGAACACATGAATTGAATTCTAGTATTTTTCCCCCTTAACAGACATTGGCCTGGGTGGAATTACAGAGGAACAGCCCGAATGCACCTGCTCCCGGCGCCTAGCTCCGATTTTGCGTCCAGCTTGCTCACGAAGCGCGCAAAGAAGAGCCGCCGAGATGAAAAAGTCCGGTCCCGAGACTGTTTCTTTGTCGATTTTATTGGCGATTCTGAGGACACGCTTACGTGAGGGACGAAACTCGGACATTACGGACGCCTCCCGTCAAACCTGGCACAAAACTTGGGGAAAGTGCTGTTAGTTTGGGAGGCCGAGGTCAAAACATGTGCGTGCGCGGGCGGGCACCGGACGCAACGGCTAGCCTCCCGCGTGCCACCGTCCCCTCAATTTGCAGGATGAGGCGTCGCTCCCCCTCCCTCACGCGCTTTTTTTTTTTTTTTTTTTTTGCTCAAAAGGCGCTAGCGCCCTCGCCTGTCTTTGCCGCCCCTGCCCTCCCAAAGAGCAGGGAGGGGCCACGCGGAGCCGCGCGCATCTCTCGGCTCCTCCACCAGCCCTCTCCCAACATCGAAGGCTGGGAGACGCAGGCAAAGCCGCCGCAGCGGTAGCGCCCGAGTTGTCCTTAGCATGCTCGCCTCTCGGCACCGTCGGCGACGGGTACTTGCTGCAGCCATCCGGCAGAAGCACCAGCAGCAGCTGCTGCCTTTCTTCCCGGGTCTTTAACGCCTGGCTTGCTTCTCCCGCTACTGCCGCCGCCGCTTCCAGCACCTCCTTCTCCGGGTGGGGCGATTATGAACTAACCGGGCGACTACACTGATAGCCCAGCTTCTCTCTTTTCCCTGGTAAGACTTGGCGTGTGGAGAAAGGAGCTGGCTGGCAGCTGCTGCTTGGCGGTCCCGCGGGCGAGCCGAAGTCATCCCGGTCCCAGTTAAGACATACCAGTCACAAACCCAGAGTCCAAACCGAGAGGGGTCGCTTGCCCCTGCCGGGGAAGAGCGGCGGGCGCGCACAGCTCAACGGGCAACCTCCACGGCCATGTGCCTGGAAGGAGCGGAGCTGGGGTCAGGGGCCGCTTAGCCGGGGGGGGGCATGTGGTGGGGAGAGAAGCGGGAGCAAACCAAAAGCGGGGGGGATTAATGGGGAGAGCTGACAGCGGCCGCCGGGGGAGGGGACTGTTGTTGCTGCTGCCGCCGCCGCCGTGTGTGGGGAGAGCTGGTTGGCGCGTGCATCTCAGGGATCTCACCCCTGACTCCGGGGTCCCTGGAAGAGCCGGCAGGCGCGAGAACTGCGAATGGGAGCGTTTGGTGGTTTCGAAGAATTCCTAGAACGCGGTAGGATGGCGTTTTGCAGGTCTCGGGGAAGGAGTGAGCTTTGTTTCGCCCCCTTCTCTCTCCCCTGGTAATGCGAGAGATGATGTCTCTCCCCCAAACGCCCCCACCACCACCACCACACACACACCAATATCACTGGCTGTGGCTGGATTTGGCAGCAGTACTAAAGCGAGCGAAGTGCCCCCAGCGCGAGCACACAGACACCAGACTGTGGCGGCGGCGGCAGCTGCGAAGCGCGTGGGGGATCCGAAATATTTTGCCCTCGGGCTCAGGAAAAAAGCGGTTTCTCGCCGGCTCGCGCGCTCTCTGTCTCGTGTGTGTGTAGCAACCTCGAATACTGTAATTGTAAAGGCGGTGGGGGGGGGAGAATACCGCCGTGGGGAGGAAAAAATAGATACTCGAATGGACAAAGTTGCTTGACGAATCTCTTAAAACGTTCTTTTCCGTAACGATCTAAAGAGAGGCGTGGAGACTTCATGGCGAATATTATCTCTTCCTCGCCTCCTAATCTTTTTTATACTTCTTGTAACCCGTAAACTTGAATTTTAATTTGTAATCGGTGGAATGTGATTGCTGAATCTTTTTTTTTTTTTGCCGAGTTCCCCCTCCCCCGTACTTTCCATGAGGTGTTTTTAATTCTACTTTATTTTATTGTGGGTCAAAGTCAAAGGGGTGTGAATGGGTTTACACATTGCTTGGGAAGAGGTGCTTCCCGAGATTTTAAAGGTTTAACAATAGCGTTCTGGGACTTTTCTAGTCCTTTCCTTTGTTTTTCTCAGGTTTTAGACTTTGCACTGAATCGCAGAGAGAAAAGTCCACGTTCATGAACAGAATGACTAAGCCCACACATTGGGCTCAGCCACAACGCATAATGTTTGATTTTGACCCTTTAAAAATGTGATGTTTTGTGAATCCATCAATATTATTTATATCTTAATAAGTGGTGTGGTCCAACTAGTTATGATTTAGCAAACCTTAATGCACTGTGTGAACCAATTTTATAAGCATTCTTGAGAGATTTTTGTATCCAACTTGTGCCCAAGAAACTATGTAGGGAAGGGGTGGGGAGAAGGTGAATTGAGGAGCTTTTGTGTTTCAGACCTCAGTATTAGAATAGCATTAACTGTTTGGGGAGAAGTGACTCATGGCATGTTCCCATAGGTGTCTAGCTGGAAAGGAATCCTGTTGAATTCAGTGGCACTTCCATGTAGTAAGCCAGTGGGATTTACTATAGACAAGAGATGCAGTTAGAATTCCATTATGAATGCTCTCATGGGTTTTCTGTTTCAAGTATGTTCTTGAGGTTTACATCAATTCGGAATGTCTTTCTAAAATAACTTCTTTACTGGTGTAAAAAAAATCAGCATATTTTAAAGGAACACATTTAAGTGTTAAAAGAGGAAAGGGATATTTCACTTTAAAAATTAAAAAAAATATTAATTAATTTAGCATTTAAACCTGAAAATGAACAGGTGAATTGCTTAGAATTACCAAACAAAAGTACAGTGAAATTTAAATAAAATTATTCAGAAAAAAATTACATGTTACGAATGGTACAATATTTTGCAGAGAGGTTTCCCCCCCTTTAAAATCTATAATCTGTTCAACTAAGACAGTGGAAGCATCATTTTTGATTGCGGAATATAAGTAAAATGGTCAAACATGCATTTAGGGTATTAGAAAATATTTTTTTATTTCTCACTCTTAAAATATATATTCATTTTAATAGACTTAGTTATGTTTCTCCTGATAGTACTTCTGTTTTTGCCATCCAAGGAGAATGACATTTTCATATCAATTCCTTTAGGATACCAAGTGGCAGGAAAAGTTCCCAATTTTATGATTTGTTAAATAGGTTCTACTGTATGCATCTTCCTTCTGATTGTTTATAATAGAATGCCCAGCTGCTGCTGCTTGCTTTTTTTTCTCTCTCTCTATTTACCCAATTGCCATGAAACAGTCAGATGCAGGACAAAGAATTAGCATTTTAAAGACTCTATTTTTATACTAATTCACTCTTCTTTCTCTCCTAAATCCTCACACATTCATGTTACTTTGCAATACAATTAAAATAGCCATAAAGTAAAGCAACCATGTGTAACAAAATAATAGGTTCACTAAAGAAGTAAACTGGTTGATTATAATTCTTAGTTTATTATAGATATGCTCATGGAGTTTATAAACCTGCTATTAATTAGAAGTTTAATCAAAGATTAGCTACGTAAACTATATACAATTTATGAGGGAGAAGTTTTGTTAAATATTTGAATGATTGTTGCATAGGCAATAAATAGAAACTATGGTGCAAAGTTCATTTTTGAAAGTCTGACTTCCTTGTTTAGTGTAGTTATCCTGGATACAGTAATACAGTTATCCTGGATACAGTAATACAGTTATAGCTTCACAAATTCTAAAATCTTTTATTGGTTGCTTTGTAGAGTGATAATAAAGATGATGTTGCCCCTCTATGCTTAAGAAAGTAGAGGAGTCTGGGTCATTAGGTAAAATGGGGAGAAACCCTTTTTCAAGAACCTCCACATTTTGGAAAATAATTTCCAAGTACTAACCAGGCCCTCCTGCTTAGCTTCTGAGTCTAGACTTAGTCAGCTGGATGCTAATACTTGGGAAGATGCTTTGGAAGAAGCCAGTCCCAAATTTTAACACTTTGAATCAGTAAACCCAACCCAATCAAGATTACCAAGATTACAACTTGATTGTATCAGATAAAGCCTTGAATGTGCAATAACTTTATCCTAGGTACCCTTTATATCATTGTGTATTAATAGAGAGCCACAGGTAGCTCAAACATAATTATGTTCTACCAAAGAATCTCCTACAATGTTCACCCATTCTACACATAGATGGTGTTTTGAGGATTTAGGAAAAGCGAGTAAGCACTTAGCTGTCTGTTTGATATATATCAGCTCTAAGGGAATAATATAGTTGCAATGATAAAAGGCTACCCTATTGATTGCTTTCTGCTTGTGTAGGGGAGATTTCCCTTTGTACAATAAATTCTACTTACTAGCATATTTCATGTACCAAGAATATATGCTGAACGGACTGGAGGAATGCATAGAACATCATTATGTCCACTTGTTTCAAAGTACAAAACTACGGTTGTCCTCGTAGTCAAGGACTTTCTATGAAATTGAACAAAGGTGGGTTGCTCCCAGTTTGGCCCAGTTCAGGTGAACTGGTAGTGGAGTGGCGGGAGGCTCCGCCCACCCACCAAATACCTCTGCACATGCACAGTGATGTGAGTGTGCACAAGCCAACTGGTAGTAAAAAAAATGGAAACCCACCACTGAAATTGAACTTTAAATGTATTTGGGAATAACAATTAACCAATTTTGTTGTATTTATTTTGTGCAATTGTTGCAGCAGATTGAGGTTTGTAATCTACTTACGAAAGACCAGGACTTGATACCACGAAGGTGAGAGAAACAGGTTTATTGGATGCATCGAGTTCAGTGTGTTCACACACCAAAATCTGAACTGACCTGGCTACGCCCAGGGCAGTGATTTTATACCTTTAATCAAACTTCGTCAATCAGAGGGCGTTTAAAGAGGCGTATTCATACAAAACGTAAAAACCCCTATTCAGAACAGGGAAGTACATCTTGGAAAAATACAAAAGCAGATATTCATACCAACAGTTTTCTGCAACTTCTCTGTTGTATCTCTCCCCCACGCCTGGCTTCCTGTGCCCCTCCTTTACAGAGTCTTGCCACACTGTCAGCCCTATTTGTAATATGAGGAAGTTAAAAGTCAACTTTGGGACTCCAGGGCACTGGAGTAAAAGGCCAAACTAAAATGAATCTATAAGGTCCATTCTATTAAGACCACCTAACCTGGCCAGCCACTGGTGGGTTTACCTGTGCAACCCATGCTGTATCACAATGACAATAAAGATTATACTATACTATGTATGCTAAATCCCCATTTGATGCTTAAAGGAAGTAACTGTAAATTATGAGGCTTTAGATGTTTTATATTTTTTTGTAGAAAAAGCTATTATTATTACACATCCATCACAATCCAGCTAGTTTTGCCGCCTTTAGCATTAAGAAAGAAATTTCAGCATGCTTTCATCATATGAATGTTGTATATCAATAATATTTTTAAACTCATGTATGATTCCATAGTTTTTGTACAGTACACAATGCATACATATATTACAAGGCTTTCTGGAGAACTAGAGTTTTAGCTTTAACATTTACATAACCTTTCCAATTTTAAGAGCTTCTCTATGCACATTTACTGTTTTTTCATTCTGAAGAATAAATATTTAGTTTTCAGTTAGCATGTGCTAAGCATACTGAAATATCGACTCAAGATTGAAACTTTCCTTTTTGCTTCCTGTGTTTTGCTTCAGTAGTTATAACCTATTCACATATATAAATAAACTATAAATAACAGTTTTTACTTTATATAATGTAATCACTTCTTTAGGTAAGTTTAAACAAAGCTTCTCCTTAGTGATATTTGTTATATTATGAAATATTATG